GCACTAATTTCAAATCCATCAATAACAAAAAATAAAGAAAACGTACCGTTGACACAATGCATCACTTCGGTGACTTTTTGCCGACAAAGCTCGCAGTTTCTGTTCACTTTCATCACACAACTCTGCAAAATAGTAATTAAACGTTAACATTTCTCTATCAAGAAAAGAAGAAAAAAACATACAAAAAGGAATGAAATTTATCTATTAATTCGAATTTGTATTCGTTTTCGCTAACCATATCGACTGTGTAATCCATTGGAGGTAGTTTCTTTTTGGCTTTCTTGCTTAATTGGTCTAATCAACAAAATGAATATATTTGTTTTTATGGGTAAAGAAAGAAAAGATATAGTGGGTGATTGGTTCGGCTGTAGTTGTAGATTAATTGCTGTATAATTTTTGCTGTAAATGTTTTGGCTGTAGCTGTATTTTTTTTAGGCTGCACATTTTTAGGCTGCAGATTTTTTTGCTGTACATATTAAGTTGTAGCTGTAATATTAAAATAAAAACACGATTGGTAACTATAAGATATGTGCTGTAGTTTTAATTAAATTAATTTATGCAAATAAAAATTGTTATAATTTAGAAATTTTATGTTAATTTGAACATAATAAATAATGAACTTCTGAATCATTCATAATAAGTAAAATCATTAAAAAAAATTGTATAATCTAGAAAAGAGACTCACTGATTTGATTTGTGGTAAAGAGAAAATAAGAAGACGTGTTTCTTCAAATCTTTGTGACGGCAATATACACACACATATATATATAGGTTAGACTTTTTTCAATTAGGTAAATCGATGTGCTTATCTTGATTTTTCCATTTTTNAAAAATAATTTTTTTAAAAAAATAAGAGTGTACAGCCATAAAAATGGGGCTGTAGGATTTTACATGTTACAACAAAAGAAATTTAAAAAAAAAAATTAAAGAGGCTGTAGATTATAGAATTAAAGCAAAAACATGATTGGTAACAAATGATGTAGGTTTGAAACTTAAAGAATTAAAGATACAACATGATTGGTAACATAATGATGCTTTAAGAAAAATTAAAGCTGTAGACAAGGCTTAAAGTCCAACCAATCATGCACATAGTACTTGTTATTCTTGTTTAAGGCAAGTGTATCTGATTTTTAATTAATTACGTAATAATATTATTGTCTAGTACTGTATATAGATAGTACTATTCCGAAATAATTATAATATAGGGAAAATAAATGATCATTCGATATCTTAATAATATTGTAAAGTTATCCTACCGTATATACTTTAACAACGATATCCTTGCGTATCCCTTGTTTTGTGCAACTGCTATATAATTAGTCTATATATTCTCATTAGCAAGGGAAGATAAATATTTCACTCAAAGATTCGTAACCCTAATTCCTCTTTTTTCCCTTTCACGTTTCTTCTTCTTCTCTATGGCTGCGCCACCATCTCTTTCCCTTGATTCTTGTTATGTATTGGAGTATGGGTTATGGTCGGTTAAGTTCGGTTGACATTTGGTTTAGTAAATACAGAATATTCCAAAGAGATATGCATAGTTGAAGATTGCGTCTTCTTCGTAACAGAGGCTCCGTAACAGAGGCATCATTGTTATAGATATTCCTAGATTTGAGATTCTTGTTGTACGACTGATATATATGTACGCTTGTTTGTTGATAATAAAGATCATCGAATTCTCAGCTTCTGCTTCTCTCTTTA